CGGCTCCTCTGTCCCCACGGAGGGTGAAGCAGCTGGAGGAGCAAGCTCTTACCGAGCCTCCCACACCCACTGCCCGCACCGGGCACCCGCCCCAATCACTGTCATTGCAGATAGGGGTACCCTGCCCCCAGCGCACCCAGGCTGTCTTTTGGGCCCCCCCCCAAGTTCTTGGCTCCCCTCCCTTCAGGGTTGGTACCCAGCACAGCACTGCACCGGGGAGAGAGGGCACGGAACCCAGGTCCTGCCCGGCCCACAGCTGCCCTCCCCGCCCACAGCTGAGGCCCCATGTCCTTTCCAAGGTGCAGGTTCAGCATGGCTTCTGGGGACCCCAAACCCCAGCCCAGCCGCACCTGCTGCCCTTCCCACCCTCGCCTCCCAGCCGAACCCAGCCATTTTGGGGGGCCCCTTGCACCCTGACATGTCCTGATCTCCACAGCCACTAGCCCCTCCTCGTCCCCCTGGCTGATGTCTCCCCCAGGATCAGGAGCTGCTGCCCTTCCTCTGGCTTCCCTCTGCCCCCGTGCGCATGTCCCACCACCTCTGCACCCCAATCCTGCATCCTGCCTAGACTCTGTCCTGGGCCAGGGCGCTGTCTGACGCAGCCCACACGCCCTAAGGGGCCCTCTGTCGGCTCCATGACAAGTGTCAGGCACAGTGTTTCGAAATGCATGACTGAAAGGCTGCAATGCAAGAACAGAAGTGACCCAGACGAGGAAAGGCCCAGGACCAGCGTTGCAGGGATCCCAGAGGTGAGATCCAAGAAGGCTTCCTGGAAGAGGTGGCTCTCGCGCCAGCTGCCTTGGCAGAGTTGAGAAGCTTTCTGAAGACAGTAGCCATGACGGCGGCTGACAAGGGGGACATGTGGGGCACTTGGGGCAGGAGAGGAGGTACTGAGACAGGATCAGACCTCGGGCCTGGCCCCGGGCGGGTGCTCACCTCAGACCACGGGCTGGTGTACCACTTGAAGCAGGGCCTCTCAAAGCACATGCTCTCCTCGGGCGGCTTCGTGGCCAGCCCGCACTCGGGGTCGCTGCGGGTCTGCAGCTTCCCGTTGGTCAGCTCCATGCACAGGACCAGCCTCTTCTTCACGCCTCGGCCGCAGGTGGTGTTGCACTGGCCAGGGAACAGACGGGTCAGAGGCCGGGGGTCAGAGGCCGGAACACCGCCCGGCGGCTCCGGCGGCCATGGCTTAGTCTATAGCGATCGATCGGGTGAAGGCTGAGGTGGGGGGCAGAATGGCCGAGGACTCTGGTCGACAACCATGTGGCCCCACAAGGGTTTGACCCAAAGCAATGTAGCAGGAAACCAGCTGTTCTGAAACAAAATGGCTCACGACCATTTGGCCCAAGATGGCTTGGCGCCGAGCAGTCGCCTGAGACGGCTCAGCTGGTGGAGAGCAACGGGTCTGACACCGCAGGTTGTGGCCCTGAAGTTGGCCATGAGCACAAGGACCTGTGGGCCTGAAGCAGGCGGCCAGTTCTCCCTTCATGAGGAATGTGGGGGCCTGGGAGGGCAGCAGAGGGCGGGGCGCAGGCGGCAGGCGGGGGCAGACAATCCGCACACATCCGAGCATTTGCCTGCTGAGACTGGGAAGTTTTAAGGAGTTTTCCTACCTTTTCTGCCCTTTCCCACTTCAGATTAATGTCTAGTGAACCGTGGGTGACCATCTACAACGAAGCCCTCGTTTTGACCACCTGGTCCTCAGCCCGTGCCCTCAGCCCCCGGGCCCCAGGCGGTCGGCGCGCTCACCCGCTCCCAGCCCTGGGCCAGCCAGTGCGCGGGGCAGTTCTTGTCCCCGCAGGGGTGGATGGCCAGCGGCTTGGTCTCCATCTGGCACTGCGACTCGGGCACCACCCTCCCGTCGCTGGTCTTGCAGTACACGTGTCTGATCATGCGGCCGGGGCCGCAGCTCCCGCTGCACTGCAGGGGGACAGGCGGGGACACAGGTGTCAGGGCCCAGCCGCTCCCCGCGCCCCTGGCGTCATTCCCCAGAGAGAGGACGCCCCCCACCCCCACCCCACGGGGCAGCATGGGCGCTGTTGCCAGGGTAACCACGTGTTAAATAACACTTTCCGTTCTAATTACAGAACGCTGCGGGCTCGATGGAAAGCACACGGAAAAGCACCTACAAGCCCCAAGTGGGCGTCTGTGCCCGGCACCCAGCGGGCACCCCAGGGAGCACCGGGGCATCTTTCTCCCGACCAGAGAGACAAGGACAGACATTCGGGGGGACAGGCGGCGGGTTATAAAAGGAACGGCCATGGGCCCCTGTTTTTGGATAAAGGCCTTGATTCTTCTTGATAACGAGGAGAAAGGCCAGTTCTTCCCCCACATCCTCACTCCAGGACCCTGGCCAGCCCCGGAAGCTCCCTCCCCTGGCCCAGGCCTCACCGGCCCCCAGTCGGAGACGGTCCATTGGCGGTCGCAGGGCGGCCCCATGCACTCCTTCTCCCGCTTGGGCCTGGTGTTGGGGTCGCACAGCTTCTCGTCCTCGGAGCAGCGGATGTCCCTGGTCACCACGCCAC